TAACTGAAGCGATGTTATTCCGAAATAATGATTCGTCGATTTGAAAAAATCATTTGAAATTTTGGATTCTGATGGTAAATCAAAGGAATGCATAAACTAAAGATTTCTGTATTGCCGACGATGATGTGAAATGTTTTTATCATTCGTCGGTGATTTATCTGTGAATGGCAGGGAGAAATTCGGGAATGGATCCAGTGAAGCGCATTTCAGAATTAATCAGAAGTGAAAAAGGCAGAGGACTTCATCGCCGACTGCCAGTCTAATCTACTAGTTGTTGGATTTCGGCAACTATATATAGTTGGTGAAATTTGGATTGAAAAAAAATGGAAAAAAAATGGATTTGGGTGAGAATGGCGAAAAACGATCTTTTCACACTTCTACACCCTCAAGTACGTTTCCGGGGGGATTGCTAATTTTTTGGAGGATTAAGGGAGTCCGCAGACACATACTCGAGTAGGAGTTGTTTAGTTTTTTTGGATTCGTCATGTTGAAAAAAGAAAATTTTCATTTTTTACTTTTTCCACATACTTTTGAGAGTTCTGGATAGCCCGTTACTTGAATCATCGGAATCAACGCTCACCCGGCGGAAAAAATCGATTTTGACGAAAGTCGACTTTCGTCCCGAAAAAAGCCTAAATACGACACTTTGGCTCGGGGCGAAAAAAATTTTTTTTTTATTTCTGCGTTTTTGGGGCAAGTGAGGGTCTCAGTGGCATTAGGCGGGCCAAAGAATAAAGAATCAGCGTTCACCCGGCGGAAAAATTCGATTTTGGCGAAAGTCGACTTTCCCCCCGAAAAAAGCCTAAATATGGCACTTTGGCTCTGGGTGCAAAAAAAAAATTTTTTTATTTCTGCATTTCCGGGGCAAGTGAGGGTCTCAGTGGCATTAGGCGGGCCAGAAAATACAGAATCAGCGTTCACCCGGCGGAAAAATTCGATTTTGGCGAAAGTCGACTTTCCCCCCGAAAAAAGCCTAAATATGGCACTTTGGCTCTGGGTGCAAAAAAAAAATTTTTTTATTTCTGCATTTCCGGGGCAAGTGAGGGTCTCAGTGGCATTAGGCGGGCCAGAAAATACAGAATCAGCGTTCACCCGGCGGAAAAATTCGATTTTGGCGAAAGTCGACTTTCCCCCCGAAAAAAGCCTAAATATGGCACTTTGGCTCTGGGTGCAAAAAAAAAATTTTTTTATTTCTGCATTTCCGGGGCAAGTGAGGGTCTCAGTGGCATTAGGCGGGCCAGAAAATACAGAATCAGCGTTCACCCGGCGGAAAAATTCGATTTTGGCGAAAGTCGACTTTCCCCCCGAAAAAAGCCTAAATATGGCACTTTGGCTCTGGGTGCAAAAAAAAAATTTTTTTATTTCTGCATTTCCGGGGCAAGTGAGGGTCTCAGTGGCATTAGGCGGGCCAGAAAATACAGAATCAGCGTTCACCCGGCGGAAAAATTCGATTTTGGCGAAAGTCGACTTTCCCCCCGAAAAAAGCCTAAATATGGCACTTTGGCTCTGGGTGCAAAAAAAAAATTTTTTTATTTCTGCATTTCCGGGGCAAGTGAGGGTCTCAGTGGCATTAGGCGGGCCAGAAAATACAGAATCAGCGTTCACCCGGCGGAAAAATTCGATTTTGGCGAAAGTCGACTTTCCCCCCGAAAAAAGCCTAAATATGGCACTTTGGCTCTGGGTGCAAAAAAAAAATTTTTTTATTTCTGCATTTCCGGGGCAAGTGAGGGTCTCAGTGGCATTAGGCGGGCCAGAAAATACAGAATCAGCGTTCACCCGGCGGAAAAATTCGATTTTGGCGAAAGTCGACTTTCCCCCCGAAAAAAGCCTAAATATGGCACTTTGGCTCTGGGTGCAAAAAAAAAATTTTTTTATTTCTGCATTTCCGGGGCAAGTGAGGGTCTCAGTGGCATTAGGCGGGCCAGAAAATACAGAATCAGCGTTCACCCGGCGGAAAAATTCGATTTTGGCGAAAGTCGACTTTCCCCCCGAAAAAAGCCTAAATATGGCACTTTGGCTCTGGGTGCAAAAAAAAAATTTTTTTATTTCTGCATTTCCGGGGCAAGTGAGGGTCTCAGTGGCATTAGGCGGGCCAGAAAATACAGAATCAGCGTTCACCCGGCGGAAAAATTCGATTTTGGCGAAAGTCGACTTTCCCCCCGAAAAAAGCCTAAATATGGCACTTTGGCTCTGGGTGCAAAAAAAAAATTTTTTTATTTCTGCATTTCCGGGGCAAGTGAGGGTCTCAGTGGCATTAGGCGGGCCAGAAAATACAGAATCAGCGTTCACCCGGCGGAAAAATTCGATTTTGGCGAAAGTCGACTTTCCCCCCGAAAAAAGCCTAAATATGGCACTTTGGCTCTGGGTGCAAAAAAAAAATTTTTTTATTTCTGCATTTCCGGGGCAAGTGAGGGTCTCAGTGGCATTAGGCGGGCCAGAAAATACAGAATCAGCGTTCACCCGGCGGAAAAATTCGATTTTGGCGAAAGTCGACTTTCCCCCCGAAAAAAGCCTAAATATGGCACTTTGGCTCTGGGTGCAAAAAAAAAATTTTTTTATTTCTGCATTTCCGGGGCAAGTGAGGGTCTCAGTGGCATTAGGCGGGCCAGAAAATACAGAATCAGCGTTCACCCGGCGGAAAAATTCGATTTTGGCGAAAGTCGACTTTCCCCCCGAAAAAAGCCTAAATATGGCACTTTGGCTCTGGGTGCAAAAAAAAAATTTTTTTATTTCTGCATTTCCGGGGCAAGTGAGGGTCTCAGTGGCATTAGGCGGGCCAGAAAATACAGAATCAGCGTTCACCCGGCGGAAAAATTCGATTTTGGCGAAAGTCGACTTTCCCCCCGAAAAAAGCCTAAATATGGCACTTTGGCTCCGGGTGAAAAAAAAAATTTTTTTATTTCTGCATTTCTGGGGCAAGTGAGGGTCTCAGTGGCATTAGGCGGGCCAGAAAATACAGAATCAGCGTTCACCCGGCGGAAAAATTCGATTTTGGCGAAAGTCGACTTTCCCCCCGAAAAAAGCCTAAATATGGCACTTTGGCTCCGGGTGAAAAAAAAAATTTTTTTATTTCTGCATTTCTGGGGCAAGTGAGGGTCTCAGTGGCATTAGGCGGGCCAGAAAATACAGAATCAGCGTTCACCCGGCGGAAAAATTCGATTTTGGCGAAAGTCGACTTTCCCCCCGAAAAAAGCCTAAATATGGCACTTTGGCTCCGGGTGAAAAAAAAAATTTTTTTATTTCTGCATTTCTGGGGCAAGTGAGGGTCTCAGTGGCATTAGGCGGGCCAGAAAATACAGAATCAGCGTTCACCCGGCGGAAAAATTCGATTTTGGCGAAAGTCGACTTTCCCCCCGAAAAAAGCCTAAATATGGCACTTTGGCTCCGGGTGAAAAAAAAAATTTTTTTATTTCTGCATTTCTGGGGCAAGTGAGGGTCTCAGTGGCATTAGGCGGGCCAGAAAATACAGAATCAGCGTTCACCCGGCGGAAAAATTCGATTTTGGCGAAAGTCGACTTTCCCCCCGAAAAAAGCCTAAATATGGCACTTTGGCTCCGGGTGAAAAAAAAAATTTTTTTATTTCTGCATTTCTGGGGCAAGTGAGGGTCTCAGTGGCATTAGGCGGGCCAGAAAATACAGAATCAGCGTTCACCCGGCGGAAAAATTCGATTTTGGCGAAAGTCGACTTTCCCCCCGAAAAAAGCCTAAATATGGCACTTTGGCTCTGGGTGCAAAAAAAAAATTTTTTTATTTCTGCATTTCCGGGGCAAGTGAGAGTCTCAGTGGCATTAGGCGGGCCAGAGAATACAGAATCAGCGTTCACCCGGCGGAAAAATTCGATTTTGGCGAAAGTCGACTTTCCCCCCGAAAAAAGCCTAAATACGACACTGTGGCTAGGGGCGAAAAATTTTTTTTTTTATTTCTGCGTTTTTGGGGCAAGTGAGGGGCGCAGTAGCATTAGGCGCCCCAGAAAATACAGAATCAATCACTCGCCCGAAAAATATGACTTTGGCCGCAGGTGAAAAAAATTTTTTTTTAATTTTTTACTTTTTCTACATACCTTTTAGAGTTCTGCATAGTCCATCACTTGAATCCTCGGAATCAACGTTCACTCGGCCAAAAAGTATGATTTTGCCGCAAGTTGACTTTTCCCCTGGAAAAATTCAAGATATGACACTTTGACCCCAGGTGAAAAAAAAAAGTTCTATTTTTTGATTTTTTGACATATACTTTTGAGAGTTCTGGATAACCCGTCACTTTAATCATCGGAATCAACTCTCACTCGGCCAAAAAATTCGATTTTGCCGAAAGTCGACTTTCCCCCCAAAACATCCAAGATATGACATTTTGACCCCAGGTGAATTTTTTTTTATTTTTTACTTTTTCTACATACCTTTGACAGTTCTGGATAGCCCGTCACTTGAATCATCACAATCACCTCTCGGCCAAACAATACGATTTTTCCTAAAGTTCACTTTCCCCCCGAAAAAATCCAAGATATGACACTGGCCCCAGGTGAAAATGAAATTTCTGGCGCCTCCGAGTGTGCACGAAAATTCCCCCGAACTTGATGATTACGTTCAAAACATCGCCGTCATGTTCAAATCCACCGTACATCACCTGTCTCCCGTTTCTAATAGCTCATTTACTTCTTCTCTGGCTGATTCAATTTATTATATTCTATCTACTGCCCGATGGCCAGTTCGATCACTTAGTAATTTCGCTTGAAATGAGAATAGTCCCGCGTTCTTCCACCGTACCACTGCACTAAAAATGTCGACTGGCACGGCATTTCCTTAAGCTATCACCAATACCGAGCCCTGTTTAACCACCTGATGAGAATCTGCCCGTCCGAGAATATTTCAACAAATTTCCGTGCCCAACTGTCCCACGCCGGCTTCTGTACTGTCGCCATCTTCCCTAGAACGTGTCCAAACCCGTTTGCGTCCCCCCCCCCTATCGCGGCGCGCCATATTCGACTCTCTTCAATTCGTTGAGAGCCGGGAGAAAAACATAACCTTCTTCTCTGCTGTCATTTTCCCACAACTCAAAAAAAATAAATGTAATTTTCACAATAAAAATGTCGAGACAAGAAGGGGACAATGACTCCAGTGAAATGCAAAATTTTAATGAGGATAAGGGCATTAATTTGAATACCTATAGGAAACTCGTAAAATCCTACATCGACCTGGTAAGTTGATTTTATTGTTGATTTAGTGGGACCTTTGTTGTTTGTTTGTTGCTCTTTCAGCATCTTTACAGTGCGGCTCTCTTCTGGGCTGACAAAGTCTTATCGTTGAGTAATGATGATCCTAAGGATGTTTGTACACTGGCACAATGCATGTATCTGATGAAACAGTACCATCGGGCTGCCCATCTCATCAGGAGTCGAGGATTAGAAAAGGTGAGGATGAATTGATAAATGCGAAGGGTTCACTAAGTTAAGATCAACATTCAAGACATTTTTAATAGAGCAATTGATATTTTAAATAGACCAATTAATATTTTTATAAATATTCTTTTTAAAGCCTTCTTATAAAAATAATTGCCATAAAATAAGTTGTGAGGAATAATCCGTATCAAGACTTTTTTCTATGATTAACTGTCCGTTGAAAAATGCGCATGAAAATTACCTAATTTTCAATAAAATTGCTCCAATATAAGTTTTACGGAATTCCAATAGAATTTTTTAGAGAAAGCACTGGAGTTTTTTATTAATTTTTTTGGTAGAAGTTGAACATTAAAATAATTAAAATTTACGCATCCTCATCGAAATTTGGAAAATAATAAACTAATTAATAATCTAAATTTTCAGTCACATGATTAAATAATTCTAAATTTCATAAAATAATTTTCGATTAACCAAATAATCGCCAATCTTCTCAATTTAATTATTGATGGATAAACTAATTCGGAATTTGAACATTTAATTGACGATTAATTTAATAATTTAAAAATTGCAGAGAAATCTCAACTAATTGACTCATTCAAGATTTAACGTCATTTAAAATTTATGATTATACCGATGTCTAACATGTACCCAAAATGATAATATCAATCCACAAAAAAAGCAAATATCACACCAGAAGTTTCAAAATTACCCACATGAAACAGTTCCATAAAAAAATTCAACATCTTCTCTTCTGCTTTGCTATGACCGCATGCCTGGAAGGAATTTCTAAAATGTTTCGCATAAAAGGTTGGATCAATCCTGGAAAACGAATGCCTGTTTTTTTTCAGACCGATCTTATGTGTCACTATTTAACCGTTCGAAGTTTGCTGGAAGCGAAAGAGTTCAATGAAGCACTGCAAGTGATAAACGAACTGGAAATTTGCAGTAACATATCTCAGTCTGGAGTCAGTTTCATGGCCCATCCCAACATCCTCCAGGACGCGCCAAAGAATGTAAAGAATTTTTTTAATCAAAGATTTTGGTCTGATGAACGTTATAATCTTCAAGTAATTGATTGGCATTTCCACAGGTGCAAAGCGCGATTTTATACGTCAAAGGGAGAGTTTACGAAGCAACTGACAATAGGACTGTTGCCACAGATTGCTACAAACAAGCACTACACTGTGATGTTTATTCTTATCAGGCGTTTGAAGCCCTAGTGCAAAATCAAATGCTCTCTGCTGCTGAGGGTAATGAAATATTATTCGATTATTTTTCATTTTTTATGAGGAGTTTTACAGCTATTGTTTCTGTTCAGAGAGGGAATTGCTGGAATCTCTGCCATTCAACGAGCAATGTTCAGAAGCTGATAGAGAACTGTTGAGATTACTTTATGAGAGTAAATTGAAAAAATATCAGGAACCTACGGAGGATGTTTCGTTGGCGTCCTGCAATGTCAAAGGCGTTCTCATTAGTGCGAACCTGGATATGCAGGTGGCCAAGGCTGAACGATTATACTATAACTGCGATTATCATCAGTGTTTTAATCTTACGGAGAAGTAAGTTAAAATTTTAAGAAATTATTAGTATTAGTTTAGTTTTTTGCTAATTTGGTTGTTCTTGTCTTCTAGGATTCTGAAGAAAGATCCGTATCATAGCTCTTGTTTGCCAGTTCACATTGCTTGTTTGGTAGAATTGAAGAAGACGACGGGTATTAAATCTTTTATTCATTTTTCATCAGCTACTGATTTTGGAAATGGTGTGGGAAACCGTAATAAGTCGAATTCGACATTTTTTGCTGATTATGTGAAGCAGAATTTCGGAAAGAATTTCAAAAACAAATCTCTTGACGTTTCGTGATAAAATAAGTCATGTCTAGATGATTTCGCTGGTGGAAATAATTTAATTTCGTGGACAGTTTAGTAGAAATTTTTGTGAGAACGACGGCGAGTTCAATTTAAGCACGAAATTTTGAATTTCATTGAAAATTCAATGGAATTCCAATTTTTGAGTCTGCAGAGAGACGAGGATTCCCCAAATTACCTAAATTTTCAAGGAAAACCTGAATATTCAGTACCAAATGACTATTAATTTTCAATGAATTGGGAATCCAAGGATGTGTTGTCAACAATTTTCAGGGAACAATTGAAATCAAATTCACAGTTTTTGTTAATTTGCCATAAAATAGTGAATTCTCAATTTTAACTGAACCGTCACGTGAACATCTCCAAAAATATTAGCCAAAATTGTTCAATAGTGTAGGAAATCAATGAAATGGGAATCCGAGTCGTTGCCCTTTACCACTCCACAACCGAATCGATGATTTTTCTGTTAAATTTTCAATTCTCGACATCAATATTTTTTTTTCATTTTCAGCGTTATTTTATCTCGCACACAAACTCGTCGATTTATATCCCGATATGGCTCTCGCTTGGTTCGCTGTTGGTTGTTACTATTTTGGAATAGGTAAGTCCATAATCTTGATTCAAGGGTGTACCGTCAACGCTCCAATTTTTTTTATTTAACACGCGAAATTGAATTCAAATTCTATAGCAGAAGGTCCGGAAATTGTTTCGAAAATGTTTCGAAATTGTTTCGACTGTATCTTTGATACAGCCGTAATTTTACGTGAATGTCTATACAATAATTCTTTATAATTTTACGTGAACGTCTATGGTCTTCGCATCCGAAATTTGTGATCCACAAATTTGATCTCTTTCGTGCAATAATACCTCAGAATATAATACCGCGAAGGATCCCCCAAAATTGTAATGTATTTTTATTTTATGTTTAACGTAATTCGTCACAAGAAGCTTGTGACTGGCCATCGCCCGAGGGCCTTCAGACTCATCGTAATTTATTCCTGCAAACAGTGGAGAATGTTCTCGAATTTACTAGAAAAATCTAGAATTTTCCAGACTTTCGACAGATGGCGCTACTGCCGATAAGGAACCATAAGGACTTTTTCCCTAAATGGCCCCCCATAATGAACACATCGACGTATCTACGCCAAAAACCGTGTGAATCCCCTTAATGACGATGATTTTCAGGGAAGAGTGACCATGCACGGAGATATTTGGCGAAGGCAACGGCTCTTGATCGCTTGTTCGGTCCAGCCTGGCTGGCTTATGGGCACTCCTTTGCCGTTGAAAATGAACATGATCAGGCAATGGCTGCGTACTTCAAGGCCTCGCAATTGATGAAAGGCTGTCATTTGCCACTCTTGTACATCGGCCTGGAGTGCGGTCTGACGAATAATCTCAAATTAGCTGACAAATTCTTCCAACAGGCACAGACTATTGCACCCAACGATCCGTTCGTTATCCACGAGACTGGAGTGATATCCTTCTACAATATGGAGTAAGGCTGCAGCAAATCGTGCACTTTTCAATAAATTAATAGAGACGTGAGAAGGCGCAACAATTCAGTTACGAACCAGTAAAACTTTTCAAGTCGATTTGGCTCTCAGCCGAGTTTTCCAGGAATATCTCCGAATCTAAGGGAGATATCGAAATTTTTGTCATAATCTTTTTTGTAGAGCGAATTGAGATCTAGAAAAAAGGTTCTAACAAAGATTTCGCTATCTGCCTTAGATTCCGAGATATTCATTTAAAACTGACCTATAGTCACAATTGAGTTGAACTGTTTTAGTACTTCATTACTGAATTTAATTCGTCTCGTGGTTTTATTCAATCATTCGTATCATTTGCAGTTACAAAACAGCAGAAAAACAATTCAAAGAGGCAATGAAGAGGATTCAGAATGGACTGAAAGACGTGATTCTACCCAGCAAATGGGAGGCATTGCTGAACAACTTGGGACATACCTGTAGGAAACTAAAAAAATACGAAGAGGCCCTCGACTATCATCAACAGGTGACGAAAAATCTTGGAGATCATGGAGATGATCGAGGGGAACTGATAATTAATTTATACTAATCTATGCTCTTTTGTTGGATTCACCATCCTCAGGCTTTAGTACTGAATCCATTGAATCCATCGACCTATTCGTCCATTGGTTTCATCCACGCGCTAATTGGAAATACTCAGGAGGCTGTGGATGCGTTTCACCGGGCCCTTGGACTCAGGAGAGACGATACATTCACGACAACAATGCTCGGATATGTTATGGAGCAACTTATTGATGAAAGTCCCCCCTATCTCGGTAAAAACTTCGTCGTTATCAGCTCAATCTTCCTTTCGTCTTTCCAAATCCAAATTTGTTTTTGTTGTTTCTATTTCACTTTCATTTTTGTGTTTTTATTTTACCTCAAGACCGCTTCGTACTTTTTTCGTGAAAAAAGTGAAAAATCTACTTGATTTCAGATGCTCCAACTGAAATGCCAAAGTATAAATTCTCAGAGGCTCGAGTCCCCCCGCAAGCCGCCGATAGTTCAGACAATCAGGCAGCTGGACCTGCTGGAGCTCAGGATCAAGAAATCAACAAATTACGAGTGAATTTATTCTCACGTTGGGGCGAAGACTCGGGGAAAAACGATGAGAACACAACTGATAAAACTGAAAATCGATCTCGAGATGTTGTGAATTATTCCACAGGTGACATGAGTTCTGAAGTGGAGATGCTGGATTCGTCGACAGCTCACATAGAATATAATTGAGATGAATAAAGCGCCTTGATTTTTTGGTCTAAATGATGTTATTTGTTATTTATCTCACAACCTAGTCCCAGAATTGTGTTTGTGATTTGCGATTCGAGAATGCGATTTGCAATTTCGAAAATGCGATTTTTAGACCTGGTCCGTACGCGTGTTTCTCTTTAATTGGTCGCTAACGAATGTATGGAATTGAATCTTCTTTTTCAAATGTAGGTATTGTTGAGCCCTATCCATCCCCCTGAATTAAAATTTAGTTCATCGATTAGTTTTTTAATTTTCGAATTTTTTCGAAAATCGATTGTCCCACGATAACTGAAGAAAATGTTCTGGATTGATTGACTGATGGCTTGAAAAATTTGTTTGGATGTTCTTTTGACCGAGTTCGAAGATGAAGGTGATAGCAATAATCGTTATTTTGATTTATTTGAAAATTTGCAAAAATTTTGTATTTTTTGAAAATCAGAATTCCGGGGATATCTTTGAATATCATGCTTCAAATGAACTCAATCATAGCTTAAAATGTTTGTTTTAATGCCATTAAGTCCAAGTGAAAAGATGATTACGATAGCTATATCGATTGATTTGATTTTTATGATGATTGTTGAAAATTTCGAATTTTTCATGAATTTTCCTGAACGTGAGCTTTCTGATGGTTTCTTCAAATGTGATGTTTCAAATTCATTCAAGTATGTACAAATGAAATTTTTCTATTAACATTTTATCGAAGGGCGAGGGGAGAGATGGAACCGTAAAACGACAATCGGTTGTATAGAAGAAATGGATAACAAGAATAACGATGATGATAACATTCAACTAAGTTGTAAATCTGGCAAAATTAGTTGAAAAGAAATCTTGTTCAATCTAATGAAATGAAATAAACAATGGGATTATACATGATAGATGGAAATGATGTGCAAAATAACCATTCCGAAGAATTTTCCCACTTGTTTCATATTTTTAAAATATTTCCTAACGCTTCAACATCGAAATTCAAATTCAGCCCTGCAAAGTTTAAATAATAAAATCATTAAATTGTAAAATGTCCGGAAACTAGGGTCAAATCGGACTCACATGAAAGCTCTGATGTTAGACTACAAAAGTAGAAAAACATTTCACTGGAGAAAAAAAAATGCTTAGATATCCCTAACTAATTTTTCCGCAAAAAAAATCAGAACACATAATTACACAATTAATTTCCTTCAACCCTGCGAGCCGATTCAGGGGGCGGTCCCTGACGGACGCGCATGCGTTTCATCCGAAACCACCGATTGCGCTCGAGAGAGCGGGGGTGAGACTGGGGAGACACTCAATTCTCAATTCAGTTTGCTGAGTGCCGCCGAGCGTGGTTGAACTGATTGAGAATCGCGAGAAGTGTTTGCGAAATTAAGCCCTCTACAAAAATTTACAGATCACCCTTTAGTGCCTAGAGACATTTTCGGGGGGGTAGACGACACTTACAAAACATTTCTCCAATTAAAAAATGGAATAATCCTCAATAATCCGATAATTACCCCATAAGCACTCGCCAAACTGCAGATTTTAAACCGAAACTTGTCAACTCATTCATTGATTTCACAGTAAAAGTTTAGTTTCCCTATTTTTTTCAATTATTTATTATTTAAAATTGTGAAGAAATGAACAACAAGTCGTCGAAGAGTGCGTAGAAAAAATAAAAAACAGAAGCAACCACATGCCGTCCCTCTTGCAACAGGTAAGCATGATCTCACGTTCTTTCATTCAAAATTATTCTCACGATTTATCGATCAATTGTTGAGGGAGAAGACCAGCGAATTTTGACTTGAAAATTGTTTTTCCATCGCGAATTTCGGTGTAGATCAACCGTGTCTTTGTCCTCGTGATTTCCGAGAAAAGGGTGGCCGACTGAGAGCCTCTGATCTCGGCGATAGAATACCCCTTGTAAACAAAACCTTTCGACCACCGTGAAACTACGCCAGTAGCCACGTGTGATGGGTGGCCTTCAAAATGTACTTTCATCTCATTTATTGATTTTTTTTTTCGAGAAAAATGGGAATTAAGTGGGCCCCACCCCCTATTGCGACGCATTCTCGATATTTTTCGTTTGGTTTCGTCATTCATATTTTGAATTATTTTTCCTCGAATTATTTCCATTCGTCACCATTTATCAACTGAAAAATTGAACAATTTGAATAGGATTCGTCTTTAATAATTTATATTGTGTTGAAAAATTGAAGGGTGGGTGGGGTAAAATGGACACTTGAAACTCTTTTTAATTGTTCATAACTCAGAAACAAATTTATCAGTTGAGAGCAGTTAAGGCTCGTCCCAAAGGGAAAGAATTGTTTTTTGTATTGAAAAAAAAATTATTGAATTTCATCAACATTTCAACCCCTCATTAATATTTTTAAAAAAGTCAAAAGTGTTCGTTTTACCCCAACTTCCCCTAAATTAAATAGCCACGTATTGATGGGTGGCCTTTAAAAATATATTTTCATCTCATTTGTTGATTTCTTTTGAGAAAAATGGGAATTAAATGGGCCCCACCCCCTCCCTTGCGACGCATTTTCGAGATTTCATTATTTCGTCTGATTTGATTATTAATATTTAATTATTTTTCCTCGAATTATTTCCATTCGTCACGATTTATCAATTGAAAAATTGAACAATTCCAATAGGATTCGTCTTGAATAATTTATCGTGTGTTAAAAAATTTAGGGGAGGATGGGGTAAAATGGACACTTTAGACTGTTTTTCAGTTGTTCATAACTCAAAAACAGATTTATCAATTGGCTCGTCACAAAGAGAAAGAATTGCTTTTTGTATTGAAAAAAAAAATTATTGAATTTCATCAACATTTCAACCCCCATTAATATTTAAAAAAAGTCAAAAGTGTTCGAAAAATGGGAATTAAATGGGCCCCACCCCCTCCCTTACGACGCATTTTCGATATTTCATTATTTCGTCTGACTTCATTATTAATATTCAATTATTTTTCCTCTTATTATTGCCATTCGTCAGGATTCATCACCTGAAAAATTGAATAACTCGAATAGGATTCGTGTTGAATAATTTAAAGTGGATTGAAAATTATATAATTGCAATATTTATGGATTTGGATATTATTTGAATATTATTTCAGATTTGCAATACTTTTCATTTGGGTTCGTAATTAGTATTGAATCATTTTTTCTCTTCTATTATTTCTATTTGTCACAGTTTATCACAGTTTGTCACAGTTTATTATCTGAAAATATGCAATCACCTATTCGTGTTGATGAGTTCACCTCCAATTTCCACATATTCCGTATCCAGCAATAATTCCCCTCCTGTTTTGCTGATTCCTCAGGGCGATATTTCCAGAATTTGGCGACCACAGGTTGTAATTAATCACAGGTACTCTTTTGTATCTTCACACCGGTTCAATGTATACTTGATAGTTTTTCTCCCCTCAGTTCCAGGAACATGGGACTTGGGTTTTCTTTGTTCTTTCCCACTCCCCCCGCTCGCACCCCTTAATCCATCGAAAAATTTGTTTTTATTCGCACTACGATCGGTCTCTTTGTGTGATACATTCGTAAACGGAATCATACGACGATAGCCAGTCGAAGTGTAATGAACGACGCACCAGTCTCATCATTCTCTACGCAAAATAATTCGGTTCGTGTTAAATAATTCGGTTTTCCCTCGTGCACTACAACAATTCAATAACGAAACGGTAAAACGGTTTAAGTCGACTCAACTGCCAGCTGAGTTTTTGAGGAATATCACCGAATCTAAGGGAGATAGCCTAATTTTTGTAATCACCTTTTTCGTAGCTCTAAATTCGCTCTCTAAAAAAGGTTATGACAAAAATTTTGCAATCTGCCTTAGATTCCGAGATATTCATGGAAAACTGGGCAATTGTAAAAAACGACTTGAGCTGTTTGACCGCTTCGCTACTGAATTGGTGAGATGGAACAATAGATGATATCATGATTAATTAATTCAATTATTGAATAAAGGCTTTTGATATTTTTTATTTGTTTATTTTGTGTTTCAGTTGGCCATGTCGTTTGAAGGGGAGAATGGAAATCCATTGGAGATATCGAACGATGAGACGATGAAGCACCCTCAGCATAGGGAGACCATGCAAATGCAGATGGAGCAGAGGGATTCCATAATGAAGAGAGAGCAACATCAGCAGCAGCCGATTGCACGAGAGCCTCTACATCAATTTGGAAAGTCACTGAGTAACTTGTTGCTTGATCTGCCACCACCCCCAACACCTACACCTGGACCGCACTACCCGTGGCATTCACAGGAGGCCGGATGCAGGCCCGAGACGATCAAAGAGAATGCCTTTGAAGGTAAAAAAAAAATTAATTAAAATTAATTCGAAAAATTGAAAAAAAAAAATTTCTTGATATTTTTTTTTTTTTTTTTTGAAAAAAAATCTGTCCTCGTAAAGGAGAACAGAATTTTGGACCTTCTAATTTCATCTTCAAATGTTCCACTTCAATGGTTCACCTAATAATTTTCCACCAAAAAAATTCAACTTGAAAGTAGGAAAAAACAAACAGAATTTTTTTTTTTTTTTCGTTGAAAAAACTTCTCTTGTTATGAAGGGGAAAAGAATTTTAGACTTTTTAATTTTATCTTTAAATGTTCTAGTACAATAGTTCAATTAATCCTCTTCTAGCCATGAAAATCCATTTGAAAGTATGAAAAACCAAAAATGAAAAAAAAATTCTCTTTGAACAAAGTGTGAAGGGAAAAAAAAATCAGACCTAATTTCATATTTTAATGTTTTAATATGATAGTGCAATTAATTCCCTTCTGTCAAAAAAATCCATTAAGCGGATAAAGAATTTTAAGCCCTCTAATTCCACCTCTAAATGTTCCAATACAATAGTTCAATTAATCCTCTTCTATCAAAGAAAATCCCTTTGAAAATATGAAAAAACAAAAATAAAAAAAATAAAAAATTTCATTGAAAACAAAATTTCTTCTAATTTCTATCATTCTCAAATTTTCCTGCTAATTCCACCTTTAAATATTTTAATGCAATAGTTCAACTAATCCCTTTGGATTAAAGAGAATCCCTTCAAATGTAATTAAGTCCAAAAATTAACAAATTAAAAATTACTGCTCATTGAAAAATAACAAAAAACATCTCTCTTCATAAAGATGAAAAGAATTAAAGAGTTCATGTTTAAATGTTTCAATACAATAGCTCAACTAATTATTTTGAATTGAAGAATCCCTTTGAAGATAATAAACTCCAAAATAAAAGTATTAAAATTATTTCTCGTTAAAAAAATTTGAAAAAAAAAGATCTTCCGTTATAAAGATAAAACTAATTTTACACCTTCGAATTTAATGTTTCAATAAATTAGTTGCACTAATCATGTTGCACCTATATATCACGACATATTTTTCTGAACTGTTATCGTCATACTTTTGTTATAATTTCTCGGTATTCACTTGTTTGCGATTCACAACGGAGTTGTATCTTCCCCGAGAATTTCAAAGTTATTCGTATCTCCTCCAAAATAACGTAATTGAATCATTTTCGCAGGGGACATGTCGATCTCCGATTTATTTGGCCTCGGGATGCCCAGAGGGTCCTTGATGGGCAGTCAATCATCAACAGGTTCATCCCCAGGATATCGACATCATGCACAACAGTATGGACCCAGTCATGGACAGAGTCAGCAGTTCAACTATCAGGTTGGTTATAACGAAAAATATCCTTGAAAATTATTCATTGCACTTGACAATTTTGCTAAATGAAATAAATCATTTTTATTTCGGAAAAAATTACGAAAAATCTTATTTTCTCTGTTCTGAGGTTCTAGATAATCCTATTAAAATAAATAAAGAATTGTAATTTGCTCAAGGAAAACAAAACTGTTCTTCGGAAAGGAAAATCTCTTCATTTGAGAAAAATTAATTTTTCTTGATTTATTTGATATATGAAAATTATTTGTTGCACTTGATGATTTAATCAAGAGTAGAATCTTTTCTATTTGAGGAAAAAAGATACAAAATCTTCCCCTTGGTACTAAATAGTCGTATTAAAATCAATGAAGAATTATAGTTTTCTCAAGAGAAAGAAAAACAACGGATTTCCGAAAAAAAATTCTTTCATTTGATAAAAAATCATTTTTGTTTCTTTATTGTTGAGTTATTAGCAATTTGAAGACATTTGATCGATGAAAATTATTCGTAGAACTTCATAATTTCATCAGACGAAATGAATTGTTTTTATTAAAAAAAAAAATTTAATCTCGTTTTCTCCCTCCTGTGGTACTAGATATTCGTATTAAAATCAATGACGAATTATAATTTTCTGAAGGAGAAGAGAAACAACTGATTTTTGGAAAGTTTGTGAAAAATCCTCTCATTTTCTAAAAATTGTTTTTTCTCCGTTTGATGCCATACTCTTAGCACTTCAAAGATATTCGATTTTCACTCGTTCAATAGATAGTAAATGTTTTGTGCTTTCCACATCTGTACATGACGTTTCAATACAGCGATATGAACATACAGAGAGGGCACGAGTACCTAGAATTGCTGTCGATACTGTAACTCAATGCTGGATAGCTTATTAAATTCGGACTTATAATTCTTCCCTTCTGAGAACCCCCAGAATTACCGTGTCTGTACCCTCTCGAATCTGAAAACCTGGCAATTGAAGGTGTTTGTCCATTCATGTTCGAGAGACATTTCCCAATTTTTCAGACTAATAGAAGAATTTGTGAAAACAACATTCTTGATAATTAAAAAAATTAACTGCGGTAGCTTTGACGAAATGGAACAAAAAACTTCTTTTCTGATGCACTAGATCGCGTATGAAAAAATTCATCGAAAAAACCTAGCGCTTCACTTTAAAATAATTTTTAACAAACCTAGTGTTTCCTTTAAAAAGTCTATTGCATTTCTATTTTAGTTCTGTTAAAATTTGATCAAATAATGATATTGTTTTTTGCGTGAAGCTAATTATTCAACTGTAACGTATTTTTTAACACAAATTTTCGGAAAAATTTTCCGCAGTATTTTGAGTTTTTCACGATAAAATCGCAGAAGCTAAATTTAAAAAAAATCAGCCTCTAAAGATTTTTTTTCAAGGTTCTGATTAAAACCAACATTTTTGATAATTACAAAAAAAATTGCGGTAGTTTTGACGAGATGGAAACAATTTTTTTTCTTATACACTACATTACGTATGAAAAAACGTATCAAAAAACCTATCATTTTCTTTAAAAAAGTCTATTGAATTTTGACTGAAATTTTGTTAAAACTTAATCAAATAATGATATTGATTTTTTACGTCAATTCACTCGAAAGTAACTTCCCTTATCAAAAAACCAATTATGCCACTGCAATGTCTTTTTTTAACCCAAATTTCCAACGTTTTCCGTTGTATTCTCCTTAATTTCCCCTGATAAAATCCCAGAGACAAAATTCAGAACATTTATACCCAAAAATTTTTATATAAAATATCTCAAGAGGATCAGTTACCCAGAAAAATCAGCATCTCAAGCTTTTTTCCCACAGAACAATATATATTAAACAATTGGAAAAAATTCAACTAGAATTCCTATCAGAATTCCAACGGAATTCTATCGACACGTACGAAATTCCTGATAAGTATCAGCCTAGAGATAAAAATAATCGTTGTTTCTGCATTGTCCTCTGTTATTTATCATCCTAAAATACATGCACATTTGCGGATACTTATAGTCTGTGAAATGCAATTCACGAGCATCCAGAATATGCTTCCAAGTTCTCTTACACATGATATACGAGGTGATTCATCAGGCGGAATAGTCCACGCAAATTTTTATTGCCATTTCCTTCTTGTCGTACAATCGAATCCGCGTACACTTTAGCATTGCTTACAGCGAGTATAACTTTTTCTTCCTCCGAAGTTAAAATCCAAAGTGGCCACATTAGGCATCGAGTACAATAGTCCGAGTGGATAATATGAATTTGTAGAATGTGAGGGACGTTAAGGGCGACCCGGTTTACAGCTGAGCCAAAGAATTTTCCGCGGCACGAGCCAAACAACTCTATGTAATATCTGTACTAGGGTGTTAGCAACAACCACTAGCTTCTTTCTACTCATTTTCGTTTATCTCTCTCTCCCTCCTTCACCATAGGCATGGTAAAAACTACAGGGCATTACGCTGTATTATTTTGGATATTTTCCAAGGATTGTGCTACGAAGCTAATTCAAAGTAACAGGGAAGGAACTATTGCAGAGTTATTTACAAACTTTCACGCATAGAAGTCAGTTCCAGGAGAGATAAGTGTGAGAAATTAATGGGTGAATCCTTTGTTCTCACATTTTCATGGGAATTTTCCTCATGCGTTGGCATTGGCGAAATCGATAAGAGGAATATGTCAGCTGAAAGGAAATTTTTGTGGAAGAAATATTGAAATGAGTTGTAGAGGAAAATGAGATTTTCTGGATTTTTGCTGCTGAATGCAAACTTTGTAATCGTTCAGATTTGAGATGTATTGTTCCCATGGTTTTCATAGATAATGTTTATAATATTCCCCAGTTGCTGAGAAAAATTCTAACTAGCTGTACACAGTTTAGGAGATGATATATATAAAGACGATCGGTTGTATAGAAGAAAGGGATAATAAAAATAATGATGATGATAAAATTCAACTAACTTGAAAATCTGGCATAATTAGTTGAAAATAAATTTTATTCAATCTAATAAAATGAAATAAACAATGAATTATACATGATAGATGGAAGTGATGCGCAAAATAACCATTCGGAAGCATATTGCTAATTTATTACCAAAAATAACTATACTATAACTGGAAAAGCTATAATATTGACCGAAACGTCGCATCTACGACAAATTAACGAACTTGGCTCGTTAACAAATCGTTAACAAATTAATGAACAGCAAAATTGATTGAAATAATAAATAAAGCCTGTTTCATGATATTTTCCAGCAGTACGATGATGATAGTAGTGGCTACGAGACGTACACATCCAACATCGACATGCCGAGTACACCGAACTCGATGACCACACCAGAAAGTCCCAGTACTACTGGCAGTATTAATTCGTATCCTTACAGCTACTCCCCAAGTACAACCAACTCATCTCCATCGTCGACTCGTTCACACTACAATCACATGGGCTCACCGTCTTCATCAATTCACTCGAATTGCTATGGTCGTCCTATACGAGGCTCTCCACCTTACAGGTATTGAATTGAAATTGAAAATAAATAAATAAAAATTATTTTGTTCATCATTATCATACCATCAATTTTTGAATATTTTTTGAATACGAAAAAAATGAGAAAGTTTACGTTTCAAAATAATTCCTGGAATCGTTGAAAAATGTGAATATTTCAAGATTGCGACTTTTTTGTATGAATAGTTTATGAACAATCAATTTTCTACCGTAAAATTTATTTTTAGAAATTGTAAAAAATCATCCATATTCAAAATCTTATCAGAAATTGATCATTCAAAAAACGATATTTCCAAAAGGTTGAAAAATGCCTATTATTTATTAATGAAAACAATATTTAAAAAATGATAATTTTTTGGAAAAATCAACTTGACTGAATCCGATCATTTTTACTAATTTTTCTCACGCAGTTTAATTTTCAAAAATTGTTAACGATTAAAAACAGTCCGTTTTACCTCACTCTTCCTTCAGAATTAAACTACAATACAATTTCAACTAAATAATCCGTTAGACCATTCATCTCAGTCTTCAATATTTCAAGTCCTTTCAAATTTAAATTAAATTCTAATGAATTTATCTATCGATTGACGTATTTTCCGTACTGAATGTATTCGTTTAATACTGAAGCAAAAATTGTTTTATAATTAGTGATTGCAGTAGCCCAACGATGGATCATCCCCACATGATTGGCTGCAATTGCTCCCGATCCAATTCACCAGCAGATTCTGACATGAGTGGAGGTAGTGGTATGGATTTTTCCCTGTCTGACATGATGAGCGTTTTATCACTGAATCGTTCATACTGCTCGGATTCAATCAATTCAATGATCGATTCAGACATGGAGAGGTATCACAATAATCGGGCAGCTGCTATTCAACGTATGACGATGAAAAAATTTCCACCTGCCCCTCATCAGCTACCATCACCACATGGAATTCGTCATCACCATTGCTGTCCAAACAGCAATCACACTGTGAATGTCAACTCACCCAATGCTGAATCAGTATTCTCGTTGGATCGTGCTGCCAAATTTCACAGGAATGCTGCTGGTAAATAACATTAATTATCATAAGGGGATTGATAATAAATAGTAATAATTATATCCGATGATAATCTCTCTATATTATAAAAATCCAAATGGACCTCTGGTGATGAAAATTTGGTATTTGAAGTTAAGACTCCAAAATTGAGACAAAATAACGGTCATGAGGGTCAGAATAAGGGTCATAAGTGTCCAAATCAGGGTCATGAGGGTCAGAATAAGGATCGCGAGGGTCAGAATAAGGTTCACCAAGGTCAGATTAAGAATTATGAAGGTCAGAATAAGGTTCACGAGGGTTAGATTAGGGATCATAAGGGTCACAAGGGTAAGATTAAAGGTCACAAGGTTAAAATAAGGGTCGAAAGGGTCAGAATAAGGTTACAAGGGTCAGATTAAGGGTTACAATTGTCAGATTAAAGGTCACAAGGTTAGAATAAGGGTCGAAAGGGTCAGAATAAGGTTCGCCAGGGTCAGATGAAGAGTCACAAGGATCAGATCAAGGGTCCCAAGGGTCAGAATAAGGATGAGGGGGGTCATAGGGATGTTGAGTAATAGTAGATTGAGTAGGAAGTCTTTTTCGTCTGATTATTTTCTGACAACTTAGCCCTCAGCTGAGTTTTCCCGGAATATCTCAGAATCTAAGGGAGATAACGAAATTTTCATAATGACCTTTTTTCTAGAGCGAATTGAGAGCTACAAAAAAGGTCATGACAAAAATTTCGCTATCTCCCTAAGATTTCGAGATATTGATTGAAAACTGACCAATAGTCAAGATCTACTTAAATCGTTAGAATTAACAATCAATCAATCGATTAATCGTTATCAATTTACAGCCCTCTGCGAGGCTACGCACACCTGGAGTGGTACTTTACCGATGCGTACGCAGAAGCCAACAGGATACTCGTCCAAAGTTTTCCTCGGAGGATTGCAGTGGGACATTACAGAGGCACTACTCATTCATACTTTCAAACAGTTTGGACCGATAAAAGTTGAATGGCCAGGAAAGGAGCAATCGACAGCCCAGCCCAAGGGATACGCTTACATAATTTTCGAGTCAGAGAAACAAGTAAAGGCATTGCTGTCGTGTTGCACACATGTGTTCTCGAATGGTGGAAGTTATTACTACAAAATTTCATCCAAGAGGATGAAAGGGAAACAGGTATATTTATAATATTTTCTGGTAGTTTCTTTGCTCATTTCCGGATAGATATTTGGTAAAAAAAAAACAGCAAAATAATTTATGTATAAATTATCAAAATTTATGAAATTTTTTCTGTCGAATTTCCCAACAGAAACCAATAAAAACAAATAGAATTTCTAATAGAATTCAAATACATTTGAAAACCAATCGAATTTTCTCAGTTTGTCCTTTTGGATTTTATTATGGAAATTTATGCAGGAGAATTTCTGTTAAAGAAACAGAATCTATTGATGTTTTTAAATCACAGACTGTTCACATTATTTAATGGATCATTAGCATATTATTATAATCATATTATTCAATAAAATTCCGACAAAACTCTAATATTTAATAAAATTTCCCTAAGGAAACGCCAAATTTTTCGATTAAATTTTTTCATACATTCTTCACTCATAATTTCTCGTTATTATATTCCAGGTCCAAGTAATTCCTTGGGCACTGAGTAACAGCAACTACTCAAAGTCAACGTCTCAAAAATTGGACCCAGGAAAGACAGTTTTTGTGGGAGCCCTCCATGGTATGCTCACAGCTGAAGGCCTGGCAACGGTCATGGATGATCTTTTTGATGACGTTATTTACTGTGGTATTGACACTGACAAACACAAGTATCCCATTGGATCAGCTCGTTTGACATTCAGCAGTAAACGATCCTACAGAAAGGCAGTTGCTGCTGCATTCATTGAAATTAAAACAGCCAAATTTACGAAGAAGGTGCAGATTGATCCGTACCTCGAGGATTCAGTGTGCTCTGGGTGTCGTGTGCAGCAGGGGCCATACTTCTGTCGTGAGCCGGTAAATTTTACAATTTTCAATACTATAATTTTTTTAAATGAAATTTTTCCTCATGAATTACATGTGAAATTCTCATTCCATTTGAGCCCCATTGGGCCCTAAGTCTCGGGACATTTTTGCAATGATTTTATTATTTAAACTTTGTAGGTCTAAATTTGAATCTCGATATTGAACCGTTGGAAAACATTTTTCAAATCTGAAAAAAAAATTTGAGAGTTTACTTTTGGAGGAAGATTGAGGAAATAATTTATAAATTGCAGTTTTGGAAAATTACGAGCATTTTCTATAAATAATTTATTAACAATCAGCTTTTCACCACTAAAATCATTTGTTCAAAATCGTAACAAATTTATTCATATTCAGAATTGTACTAGAAATTGATTTTATACATAAAAAAAAAATGAGATTTCGACAGTAAAACAATTTCAATTATTTATTTATACGAAATATTTATATTTACGAATGTTTAAAAAATAATGCTATGCAAAATGTAATTAGAATGACGCGGAATATTTATGATTTTTTTCGAATTTTTCTCACTCAATTTAATTGACAAATTTGATGATTGAAAATAGTGGAATCTATATTTAATCTGTATCAGACTGTAAAAGATACTTGGATATCCTTAATGGATGACTGTCTTGACTTGAATAAACAAATCAAATTAATTAATTAAGTGACTCATTGACAGATATTTTACAGATAAAAATTGATAACTTCTAATTTTTCTGTGAGTCTTACCCCTTGAGATCTTCCCTTCAAAAATTCTCGAGCATAAATTCTCCAATTTTTTCATCTCTATTCTTTCAATTTACAATCACAAAATTCGACTCTTAAAAAAGTAATAATAATGGTTAGAAAAATCCCCTCAGTCCACGAAATAAATTCTCTTTTTCCCTTTCAGATGTGCTTCAGATACTTCTGTCGCAACTGCTGGCTCTGGCAGCACTCTATGGAGTCCATGCGTCAACACAAACCCCTCACTCGTAACTCCAAGATCAATCAAGTCGTTGGATTGACACCAAACTTCGGTTTGAACGGTGCTGGTAACCGTACCCAAGTTGGTACAATCTAAGAGAAATAATGAAGCTCAACAGTCACCACGTGGGAGTCCCTAGGATTATGGAAAATGTTTCGGAACATTTCTTCTGGTGATATTCTTCTCCCAAACTGACTCAGCTGATCTCATCCCGGGGCTGTTCCACCCGAAGGATTGACATTCTTCATTCTTCCTTATTTCAAGAACACGATAATTGGTGCTGTTGCTCGTAGAACGTGGGTACTTTTGTTAATGATTTTTTTTGTTTTTTTTTTTGCCTGTATTGGCAAGTTTTGAATCACATTGTTATTATCAGTAATAATTGGTAGAGTCGTTCAACGGTAAAAGTAACGCATGAAAAATGCCTAAACATTATGTGAACGTAAAAAGTGAAGGAATAATTTGAATGGAAAGGGCGCTGAAGAACCATTGCCTAGATTTCTAGAAGTAATTTTTTTATTTATTCGTTTATTTGGGGTTTTGACTCTAGTTACCGTGCAAACAATTTTTTTTTTACTAATGGAGGAAAATATATATTGCAAAATATATACATTAATCGTGCTAAATTGTTAACGCACTGAAGAACGGTGAATGAGATTATTCGATAGAGCTAGACTAGATCTTGGCTTTTATAGTGAAGTAATGGTTTTTTTTTACACTATGAGCATAGGGAATCATTCACTGTTCGATTGATATGTATCGAGCTGTAAAAATAATCGATGAGATCAGCTTCTCCTACGTTATTATGCGTTGATGTTCATCCAAGCAATTACCTGATCTTCAATAATTTGTCTTAGAATGATTTAGCGAGTTGTCGATAATTCGAGTGAGTTTTAGTTATTTATTTTTTTTTTCCGCCTTTCTGAATACTCGATGGATGATTATTATTTGAGGTTTTCAAGTTGTAATTCACAAGTGATCATCGCTTTCTGGGTTGTATTGACTCACGTCACATGCGTCCAACGTAAATAGAAGTCTAGAGAAGTCGATTATGGCGTTAAACATTGTTTAAAATCGTTCATTATGTCGAGAGAAAAAATGTTCTAGTGATGTTACTTGAGGCACGATTCTTTTTCCAATAATTTCATTTATCAATGTGTCGTTATAATTTTTTTTACGTGAGGTTGTACAGTGTAACGATTTTGGGTCAATCAGGACTGAAAGAGGGCCATAAATTATTAAGAAAAAAACAATGTTGCAGAACGTCTGTGATACGCGAGTGAAAAAGTTTTCTTGATTTATTCGGAACTATTCATTATCGGCGATTTAGCACAGACTAATTTACTCGTTGACGAAATTGAATAAGAAAAAAAACACGGTTTACAATTTCTGAGGGAAATTGTAGCGAATCGTTTGTGGAATTTTTTTTTCATTTTATTTTTACTTTTTTTTTCATTATTGCGTTCATTGTATTTTGTTACGAACAGGCAATCGAAAGATTTGACTGTAAATGAGTGAAATTAAGTTCTGGCCTCTTTTCAATTCGCGCCCCAAATTGAAAATGAAAAAAATCATGCTTTTTCATGCCTTCTTTTTTTTCCTTTGTTAAAAAAAAGTTGAATTAAAATTCATACCTTTGCAGATTATTTCTCTTCTTTTTCTTTATTTTCTGGCTTACCTTCTCTCACGCTTCTTCTTCCTTCTCCTAATGTTCCTTCTGTTACACGTATGAAAGAATGAGTAAACAAATTCGGAGCTTTATTTATTTAGATTTTTTCATCTGACTGATTCTCTTGAGCTTTTTTCTATCGAAATTCATATTATGGGTAGAGAAAATTGCAACAGAATAAGTTGAACAACATCAAAATTATAGAGTTCTCATATAATTAAATAATTTCTGATAAATTTTAGATTTCCAACGAAACTTTTTCATACGTGTATTTTCAATTTCAGAGCATTACTAACCAACACTAACAAGCGGCCTCTGTACTTATGATAGTAGAATATTAAAAACATTCCAAGCTAATTGGTTTTAATTATGAATGGCGCTTTACACTGTCATCACCTGATTAATCATTTCCTCTAGGATTTTTCACAATCACGGAATATACTTTAAAACTATTTGTAACGTAGAGATTTTAAAGAACCTTGTTTTTATGAAAGAGTCAACTGATTTATCTAAACTTTTAATCAGCCGTGCCTTTTAATATTAATCTCCGTGAAATTTTATTAATAATGTGGAGTAACACAAAATTATTTTAGAAATTACTGAATATGTTGAAACACAGGGTGACTTATAAATAATAGTGAAAAATGTTTGGAGCGCGTGAGTGCCGAGCTTTTTTAAATTCAATGTTGAATAATACCTTTTAAAGAATTGCGGATTTCAACAAGTTCGTGAGGAGAGTACAGTATTGGCTATTATTAATTACGTGATTTTGAATTTATCTCACGGTAAAGGAGTTGTTTCATGCGATTGCATAAAGAGAAAAATAATGAAAGCGTAAGGAGAAAAATAACGCGGTTAAACAATAATGTGGAGGAAAAGAAATTTATAGCTGGAGAACACTGAGCAGCACATGTATGAATAAATTAATAGAAAGACCTAACGATTTCTTTGAGAAATTCTATTGAAGTGCTGTCAAAACTAGTAAACCAGTGGCGGAGCGATAAAACGATTCAAGTCGATTTTGACGATTGATCAATTTTCAATGAATATCTCAGAATCTTAGGCAGATAGCGATTTTTTTCTTATGACCTTTTTTGTAGATCTTACTTTGCTCTACAAAAAATGTTCTCACGAAAATTTCTCTATCTCCCTTAGATTCAGAGATATTCAATTTCAATCGTTTTACCATTTCGCTATTCTATTAAAGATTATGCAATTACCGTCTCATTTTTTAAGGGACATTAGATAGAAAAAACTCAGTAGATTTTTATTTCTCCGTAGGTAGTCTTGGGCATAAATTTTATGCTTTTTCACTGGATTTATAATTTATGCCCCCGAATTCTTACAGACAAATAAACATCAGTAGACTTTTCTCTATAATAAAATACCTACTGTAAAGCGCACGGCAAAGTTACATAATTTTTAGCCAAATTATCGCAAAACAGATGGAGAAAAAGATAAATTGAGATCTAATAAAAATTTAATTCAATTGCTTAACGAAAACGCTAGGTTTTTCTATTCTATTTTTTATACGTGCACATTTGGGATGGAAATTGTCTCCAATTGTCATGTCCCCGGGAAAATTCCCTTTTCCCCAGCTCTCAAAAATAATTATGTTACTCATACACGAATACAATGCTCTTTACTTGAATATGAGTTGAATAATGAAACCAACATTTTTTATTTTCTGAGCGCAAATTCGCTCGTCAGTTTTTTAGTTAGCCAGTACCAAGTGCGTTTTATTTTCTAGTGCATTCTTAAATATTAAGTCATGTTTGAAATTCAAATACTCAATGGTTATCAGTTACGCGTAATTATACTGAAGTATCAGAATGCTTCTATAAAAGTAAGTGTTTGTAAGCTTCATAAACAGTTTAATGTAACCTTGTTCCAATTATTGATTAAAATAAAATGTTCAGTCGTTAAAACATCTTCACATTTTCGTTATTTCATAGCGAATTATATTAATTTTGTTTGATCAGTCAAACAAATCAATCAGTAAATGATCCTACGCTCGTGGAGCTAAGGTGAACACATCATTAGACCAATATTTCTATTAACTAAAATAATAACTTCAATTGTGTTTCACTCTTGATAGACTCTTGGGACTGTCAAAATGATTGAAATGTGATCGCTCACGACATCTGAACGAGCCTAGAGCTTTACATTCACCTTAACTATTTAGTTTTCCATAAATCTTTTATTAGAGAGTGTTTTTTTCTGATAAATCTTTTATGCGAATTGAATATTCATTGGAGGGAGCAATCAAACCCAACCAGACTAATTAAACATTGCCAATAAAATTTATTAGAACTCCACGAACTCTGGACTGTTTAAACACAATACAAGAATAACATTGCGAGAATCCTTCACCAATAGAAAAATAATTTTTCACCATAATCACTATTTTACTTGTCTTTGATCCTTAAACGTTCACAACTGTGAAAAAAAAACTTATAAAATTGATTTAGCTATACTTTTTTAGAGCAATTCTTTTACTCAGTGATTGGTACAGTGCAATGAGGGATGAGAGAGTTCCCAGTGCTCCAACCTGCCAGGTAGTCAATTTACCGCCCCAAAGTGTTCCCGGTGGCAAGTAGCTGATGGCATAACTGAGATCAATCAGCATTCTTGCACAGGTTAATATTTCATTGCTCCTTTTTTTGTTTACAGTCCTCAGTTCAGTCCTAAAAATTACACGAAACACGAAAAATAATTGTGATGCAAAATTTATCAATTTTATTTTCACAATTATGACTTAGAAAATTATTCCTGAGATTTCAGGTGAATAATCTTGGAATTTTTTAAGAATAATTCACATGAAATTCCTAAATATGTTGTTATTAACAATAAGAAATGCATTAATTCCTGGAATATTCAATGAAATGAGAAGTTTCAGGTCCATATAACAATGAAAGTTATTGAAAATTCAGTCACTCATTCTTCTGCATTTTTAATCTATTGAAAATTCAACGGAATGTAATGTACAAATTGCATAATGAAGTTGACGATTCCAGCTCTCGTGAAATAATAATAAATGATTGTCTAACTTGAGACATTCTATTTTGTAGAGTTTCCAAGATGAATAGGAATCCCATGAACATTTTGATATTAAATTGAATTTAAATTCACAACATTAAAAATTCGAATAGAGCTAATCCTTGAAATTTCGCAATTATAATTTTGTATGCCCCTAACCGAGATTATATTCAACCATCTCTTCATACAGAAAATGTTTGTTACTTACGGATGGTTCTTCAGGACGAGACTCCCGTACTCTGACAAGTTTTTGTATTTCTTTACAGACCTGCAAATATTTTTAATTCATAGTTAAAAAATTGTCTCACACTGGCAAGATTTCTAGAGAGGAAATTCCATTGAATTTAAAGTAGTATAAACATAATCAAAAAAACTAAAACTAAAAACTAGAAAACTAAAAACTTAAATTTTGAAGATGAAAATTTGAAATAAAGTCTAAACGAAAGTTGATGGAATAAAAACATTTTATAATTCTTAATTCTTAATTCTTTATTAGTAATTGGCTATTAGCCAAAAACTAATAAAAAGTTTTTCTGATTTAAACAATTAAATATTTAAATACCGAATGATTTTACCAATTAATAATCGAATTCGGAAGAATGACGATTATTTGATAATCTCCAATATTTTATAGAAAATTTCCATATATTTACCTAATAGTTATTGAAAAAATTTAAATTCTCAATTATTTATTATTTTCTAAGTTCCAATGACAAACGAATGAATTCGGTTATTTCGGGAAAATAATTCTCTTAATATTTCTGGAATAATGTTTGATGTCGATCGCTGTTTCGTACGTTTTTTTCGACTTACTTCATAAACGAAAGATAAAGAGAAACAATCCAGAACCAAGTGGATGCATTGTCCCATTTATCAACATCTATGGACACGAGTTTGTGTGAACCAGCCCAAGCAATTGTTTCAACGGGTGAATAAACAACGTCAATAACATTCTGGATGATCTCCAGCCATCTGATCATCTGGTCAGGCTCCTGAAAAGGCAGAATATCCAGAAGAATTCTATTGCACTCGTTTTTCCCAGATTAATAGTTCCTTTCATAAACTGAAAGAAAACAGTTATTACCTGCAATAATTATTACCTGCCTGCCCGAACCATACGTTAAAGCATAATGCAGCGATGGTATGTCGTCTAGGAGACGCAACATAACCCTGCAACCGCTCATTTGGCTGCCGAAGTATTTAAATTTACTTGCAGTGTCATTTGACTTTGGGAAGACAGTCGCCAATTTTGCAGCGTAGGACAGTGTCCTCAAAAATTTATCACGCCCTTCGTAGGATTCCAAATATTCTGATATCAGTTCCATTATTTTTGAATTATTTTTCTAATTTTTACTATTTATGGTTAATGATTGCACTTGGTATCACTCTATGAACAGCACATTTGTGCGATTTGTATTCGAAAATTTAAATGAAGTATCTTGAGATTCTACGAAAAACTATCTCCACGTCATTTTATTGGGAGAAAAAGAGCAGCGCGCGGTTACTGCGCCAGCAGTTGATGCCGTTGATACATTTCCCTCCTTTCGAGGTGATGTGGATATCGAAAAAAATCAACGGGATTTTTTCGATATTCGTGTGAGAAAGTGCATGACATACTTGATAGTTTAATTTCACGTTCTCAATTTTATTTCGATTTTCAGTTGAAAACCCGAGTTTGTAGCAAAGATGTCAGACAAGATATGAATGTTTTTTTGGGCTCAAACGAAAGAGCGGGTCGAGAAATGGCGTGCTAGGACCTCTAAAGATGGTTTTGAACCAGGGGAGACTCCTAGACCCCA